AGCTGAGAGTAGCTAGCTTACGGTTCACAGAATCAGATGGTGGAAGGAGCATCTGGCTGTTTCTCTGGGACTGCATTTTGAAACGCAGGATGATCATTGTATGACTCGTAAATTTTTGTAAGAGTCGGGTATGGTTCCTGTAGAAATCCATACAAGGGAAATAAATGTTTTGCCAAACTGTAGAAACCGAGTGAGAAGACAGAGATAAATGCGGCTCATGCTACCATAATACTGATCCAGGATTCTTAAGATTTGGGGACATAAAACGCAAAAAAAATCTTGGGTACAGGAAGAAGAAGTACCATGTTAATCTGGAATCTGTTGATTGCTCCGTTGATCTGTGGTGCGAGAAAGAGATCAGCCTGCAAAACAATGCTTCATGTCTTTAACACTTGTCTACATACTGGTTGTGATAAAGGGACAAAAGAATCACTGAGCCGTTTCTCAAAACTTGGCATCGAGTGCCATAAAGATTTAGAGCAAATACCAAGCAAACTTCATCACCAGTTGCGTATTTTCCAGCGCAATTCACCAACAGTTTCTCAAGAGCTGAAAGAGACAAATAAGAATGTAATTAGACAGGTCGAGAGTACAAAGCATAAACCATGGATATGTTTAACTGAGAACTGAGTAAGACTTTCACAATCTTCAACCACAATATCAACTAAAAACAATATATCTCTGTAACAAGTGACCCAAGCAGATTAGTAATATGATAGATTAGGGTAGAGTAAAGATGTCATACCTGTAAATCCTTTTGTGATAGCATTATTAACCCAAGCAGTTTTCTCTTCAGTATTTATCTTTTCCTCGATATACCTCTGTAAACAAATCAAGAAACATGAGTAGGTCTGCTTTATCTAGCACCCACAACGGTATAATCTATAGTCAATCTCATGTACTCACAATAACAGCTAGATTTTGATGAGGCTGTATGCCAGACAAGACAATACTCGACGCCTGAAAAATTACAAAATAAGAACCATTTACACTCACAATACAAAATACAATAAATTCCAGTACATGGTATTGTTCATGGCAACACATGAAACAAAGCATGATTCAAAAGACAAATCAAGAAGCTGAGATTTGACTGAAGAAACAGAAGATCGAAAAACCTGGTAATTTACGGCTCGTTTATGGAGGTCGCGAGGTAACAGAGGTGGCTCAGGATACTTCTCATCAAGATACTGTCAATAACCGAAGAAACACAAATTGCAAGATCAATGAAATTTTCCTTTCGATCCACAAAACCACCAACAAGAAAACCCTCAAGGGATGTTTAACTGACCATTATAATGGCAAAAGAGTCAGAAATGACAACATCTCCATCAGCAAGAGCTGGTACAGTACCCATTGGATTGATCTCCTTGAAATCTTCAGGATCAAAACGAAATACTTTGAACCATAAGAAACCAATTAACAGTAAAATGACTCATAATCATGGTTACTAAATGATTCAAATCAAAGTTGTTCACTGTAACCTTGAATTCCGAATCAAAAACAACGTACCTGGATCGAATTGACCCCCTTTGATCAAGTTCACTGGTATATACTCATATTCAAGCCCTAGAGAAGAAACAATCGAACAACAAGATCCAAATTCCGATTTCAGACCATACAAACAAAACAAAAAAAACACACAATTTTTGTTCACAAAAGCGAAAGCAAAATACCTTTTAGAGTAAGGGCGATACGGACACGATGAGCGCAGGAGCTTCTCCAGTAAGAATAAAGCTTAAGCTTCCTATCCTTCGTCTCTGAACCAGAAGAATCCGCCTGATCAAAATCCAACATATATGGATTCATCATCACTCATTTCAACAAACTCAAAAACAAAATTACGCGGAAATTGAGTAAAGTCAAGCGATTGTAACCATGGATCAGGCAAAGATTATTGTTCTTCGTAGATTCTTGCGAT